CATGTGGGCTTTGTTGTTTCTGAGTTAGATGACCACTTATTTACCTTCAAGCCTTTAAGACCCCAGACGCTATATCTTTTGATAGCTGAGCACCATCAGCTTTCTTCACCACATTTGCTTATGCACACATTTGTCTTCAGTGATTCTGGTGGGAAAGTGAGCATTATGGAATGCCAATTTAATAGAACAAGGTATTCTTGCATTGAGGGAGTACTTGAGTGGAGGCCCAATATCCATCTGCTACCTTAATACTAAACCTATAAATATATTCACATAGATGGGGAAATAGAAGCAGCATCTTCTGATCAAAAACTACTATTTCTTCAAAGCAGTGTACAAATATTGGTATTACGTGGGGTAAAGAAAGTTTCTGACTAGACTCATATCAGCTCAAGCCCTGTTTTGCTACCAGATACGGTGACGGGAGCGTGTTGGTCATGTTGCTCCACCCCTTCCCATTAGTGTGTTTTCTGAGTTGTGTGGAGTACAAAGCTCTGGACCTCCAGTGATGGATGCTGGACTGGAAGATTTGCCTTCACATCTCTTAGACAAGGGGGTCTAGCAAATGCTGAATCCTGAGACTAGAGAGGCTTTACCAGACTTCAGTCTCAGACTCCCTGTCTCTTCCTTTTGGCTAACTTACTATTTTAAGTTGGGAAGATGATGTCAGCCAATAAACTTTAGGACAGTTACCCAAAGTTACTGAAAGTTACATCCCTACCTGTTTTAGCACAAGATTTGCCTTGAAAGAAAGGTGAGCCAAAATCATATCCACCACTTGTGTTAATGGGAAAGGCAATACTAAATGAGATGAAGTCTGTATAATGTGCCCAAGGTGAATGACACTTAAGAAGAGTAAAGGACATTTTTGGCCAATGTTGTACGTAATTCTGCAATAATAACCAAAAATGTGTGTTTGGCTATATAGGTAGATGCTGTTGTTAGATGCTAGGTGTTAGCCAGTTCTGATCCTTCGTGACCCTGTTTACAATAGAAAGAAATACTTCCTGATCCTGTACCATCCTTACAGTGGTTCTTATGTTTGAGCCCATTGTTGTAGCCACTGTGTCAACCCATCTGGTTGAGGGCCTTCCTCTTTCACAACCCCTCTACTTTACCAAGTATGATGTCTTTCTCCAGGGACTGGTCTCCCTTGACATATCCAAAGTATGTAAGAGGAAGTCTCTCCATCCTTACCTGGAAGGAGCCTTCTAGCTCTACTTCTTCCAAAACAGATTTGTTTGTTCTCTGGGCAGTCCCTGGTACTTTAAATGTTCTTTGCCAGCACCACAATTTAAATGCATTGATTCTTCTTCAGTCTTCCTTATTCAGTGTCCAACTTTCACATGAATATACAATGACTGAAAATAATCATGGCTTGGTCAGGCTCAGCTTGATCCTCCAGGTAACCTCCTTGCTTTTCAACACTTTCAAAAAGGTCTTGTGCAGTAGGTTCACTCAATGCAGTGTATTGTTTGATCTCTTGAGGAATATAGGTTAGTAAGTAAAAAAGTGTTATTACAAAATCATAAAAACCTTTATTGACCACAGACGTCAAAATGGGAAACTCTTGTTTCTCATAACATTTTCCATCTAGGTCTGTTAAGTGATGTAGGGTAAATGCGGGGAAATTCTCAAAGGCCAACGCTTGTTACTCTAGAATATGCAGGTGCAATGTTGTAGTGGAGAAAAACTCCTTGGCACAATTTTCCTAGCCTTTTTGTCATTGCTGCAGTTTTCCATTTCAAAAAACAAACTTCTTTTTAGTAAGCCCCTGTGATCATCCTGTGTCCTTTAAGGAAAATCTATCAAGATAAGTTCTTGAAAACAGGCATCTGAACCTTCTGATCTGACCGCTTTGCCTTGAATTTGAAATGGCCCAACAGATTCCATTGAAAGCCACTATATAGACAGGGCCTTGTTTAAAGGCGTTCTACGGAGACTGAGACAAGTGCTTGGCAGAGAGAACTTGGCTGCAGCCATCCACTGATTGCAGAGATAGACTTAAGCTTGTTTGTTTGGAATAAACCCTTTTATGTACGAACCGGAACACTTCTGGCCATATTTTTTATTTACCCTCATATATAGAAAGGCAGGTGTGAATACTTGCAGCACATTTCTTTGGTATCTCTGTAGGCATAAAATTGGATGTGAGAAAAAATATATATATATATATATACGAATAGGTACAATTACAGCGACCTCTAGACATAATCCAAACACCTTGCCAAATTAGTTTACCGAGTTTGAAGGCTTAGTTAAAACCATATGCTCCTAGGACAACTCGGTTAAATGGCACAGATGAGTTTATAAAGTTGATGTTCTGTAGTCTAGGTTGGTGAGTACCATCTGACATCTTAAAAATATACCAGCGCCATCTAAGGTAAAACTATTGGTCTCTACTTTTCTGGAACAAACAATATAGAAGGAATCTAATGACTCAAAGAAGAAATTGTTATACAGCACCCAAACCTCACACAGCCGCAATCTTCCAGACCCTGAGCCCAGACACAGTAGACTGTGCCCCTTGCTCACTCCTGACTGTTTTGACACGGACACACCCAATAGAATAGGATAAAAGTGTAGCACAAAATTCACATTTTCAAAATGAAAAATAAAGCAAAAAAGGCCAGAGTTAGTGGACCAATAGGCACTAGAGTAGGAATGGGCAAGTTTTTTGTTTGTGTTTTCTCTGCCAAGGGTCATTTGAGTATTTATAATATCATTCGAGAGCTATACTGTCAAACATTAACGTGCCCCTGTTGTGCAGGAGACCTGGTGGCGTAGTGATCCACAAGGTTGGCAGTTCAAAACCACTTGCTGCTCCAAGGAAGAAATACAGGGCTGTCTACTCCCTTAAATAGTTACAATCTCAGAAACTAAAAGGGTCTCTGTGTGTCAGTATTGACTTGCTTTCAGCGCGCTTGGTTTGAGTGTTTTAAATGTGATGGCTGGAACTACTTTTCTTCAGTGAGGCATGTGATGTTAGCTGGTATGGATGGTTTCACAGGCCTCGTGGCCCACAGAAGAGCCCCAATGGCATAGCGGTTACGTGTTGTGCTGCTAACTGCAAGGTCAGCCGTGACACCAGCAGTTCCCTTGAAGAAAGACAAGGCGTTCTATTCCCAGAAAGAGTTGCAGCCTCAGAAACCCCAGGGGCCAGTTCTACCCCGTTTTCAAGGATTGCTATGAGTTGGCATTGACTCGATGGAAGTGAGCTTTTGATTTTGAGTTTTAGGGCCCTCAAAGTGGACATTCCTACCCCTTGACTAGAATAACCCCAAGACTGTCGCCCTAAGATACCCTTTACATTTGGAACTGAAACCATGCACGGAGTTCGCCTTTCAGCTTACTAAAAGATTCAATCAGAATAATATTGCTGATTAATAGTTTGCTCTTTTTTTAAAAAATTATGAGACCAAATATCCAACATCTACCAGAAAGCAAAGATTAAAAGGTGGGGTAGGAACAAGAGAGCAGGGAAGCTAGAGTAATGGATTTGGAAAAACCAAAATGGAAAATGTAACAAATGTCACTGAACAATGTGTATAGGAAGTGTTCATTGTGAACTTAATTTGCTATTTAAGCTCCCACCAAAAACAATTAAAAATTTTTTTATCTTACAGGAAAAGGGTCTGCTTTGGTAAGATTTGAGGCATTTAAAAATATAATAACAACTCTAGAATCAGCCCACTTGCACCCAAAGGAGAAGCATGGAACCTAATTCATTGTGCTTTTTTTCTCAAGCATTCACTATCCTCGGAGGGAGGGATTCCTGATGGCACTCTGGGCTAGGCTTTAGGTTGCTAACCACAAGGTTGATGGTTCATGTTCACTAGCTACTGCAAGAGAGTAATATAAGAGTGCTCCTGTAAAATTTTATAGTTGTGACTATAAAACTATAGTTACAGTCTTAGAAATCCTGTGAGTTGGAATCAGCTCAATGACAGTGTATTTGGCTTGGTTTATGTTGAACAGGCAGCCAAAACTTCCACTCTATAATATAACTTCAGTAGTCCATGCTTAAAAGTGGCCTGTTCTTCCTCATACTTCATACTATAAAAATCATTTATTGCTCTTAGCTATTGTTCAGGTTTCAAGTAGAATTATTTTTTCCAGAATCAAATGACAGACTTCATTATAGTTGCATCTGATCAGCATACTTTGGGACCAAGAATTAAAACCCTCAAAAATGACATTGTAGTTTTTTAGAAGAATGTTCTTATTCTTAAGGAGATACATGCTAAAATATTTGCACCTGAACTGTCATAAGTTTATAATTTAACTTCAGGGTTTTTGTTTTGTTTTGTTTTTTAATTTTTTATTGACAAGGGTTTTAACCAAAAAGTGGCAAAATAATAATAATTCATGAGCCTTAGAAGATGCTTTCTGGCTGTTAATGGTACTGTTTTGTCATTTTTTCCCTATATGATTGACATTCTTCAGTGTAAAATTTTGGGGAAATAAAAAGGTCCTTAATGACATTGAGGATCTCTGAGGGGGCTTTAAAAAGTTTGTGGAAAAATGAAAATAAAAGATAATATAATTTTTCCATGAACCTTTTGAAGCTCCTGGTATATAAGCTGTATATTTGTTATTTACACAGTGATGAGTTTAGATGTTTTCTTAAATAATTAACCATGTATTTTGTATATTATGTTACATATACATAAAATAATATATGTTCACACATTTACAGGATTTCTAAAACGTAAATGAGGTGTTGTGCTTCTGTGTCTTAATTTTTACCTCTAGGACAGAAAACTGTTTACTTGCAAGAAATGATCGAGTATGCAAAGTTTGGGGTTAACACATTAACATACGACTAACTAAATTTATTGAGTATATTATTGAATCCTGGGAATGACTAGCATTGATGGAGTGATGCTAAAATCTGAAATCATTGCATTGTACAAACATAGTCATAGTTTAAACATAGTTTAAAGGCTGGCACTGTGAGTTCTCTCTTTTAACACTTATTATATTTGTTTCTTCCGTAGATCTTCCTCAGAACTGTGACCCTAACATTCCCCTAGTTGCTCAGGAATTAATGAGAAAGATGATACGTCAGTTTGCAATTGAGTACATTTCAAAAAGCGGTAAAATTCAAGAGAATAGAAATGGTTCAATTGGACCAAGTCTAATATGTAAAAGTATCCAGATGAGTCAAGCAGAAAGCTCCCTTCCGGAAGAGCAGGAAGGCCCCTTAGACCTCACTGTGAATCGGATGCAAGAACAAAATACTCAGCAAGGTAAGCTCCTTGTTTGGATGTGTGAGAGATAATTTTGCATGTTAATATCCGGTGAAGTATGTATGGCTTCTTTTATTTGCAGAGAACTTCCTTTTGGGAGTCAAATTACTTACAATGAGCTGATGTAAGATGGGCCAGAGAGAAGTGCAAATTTAGAACTTTTGTGTCGTAGTTAGCATCTATAACAGAGATTTGATTGTGCTACCATCTCTTCATGACAAAGTGGATGGTGAGATAATCCCAGTAAATCACTGAGAGGATATAATTTTAGAGATGTGTATGATAGGGAATTATTGTGGCAGCGGACAGTTGAGAACATGAATTAAACATTTTTTTTGTAAAAAATGCTGATAGACAAATAAAAAGGAAATCAATTACTGTGTTTCAACTGTTATTTAACTGGAAAAAGGGAGCAGTTTAATACATGTGATAAATTATGTACAGTTTAATACATGTGATAAATAGTTGTACAGACACATTGTCATAAGAAGCCTGCATGAAGAAGGCCATGTTGGATTTAGCTAAGAGAGCTTAATGAAAGGAAGAGTCTTTAGTGGGTGTGGAGGATGCTAAACAAGTATTTGCCTGGTGAAGAGAGGAGCAGCTTCGGTTAGCACTAGTTAAAATATTGGTATCAGTCTGTGAAGCCATAAAAAAATCATCATTAAATTTGGTCTGAGAAAGTAAAGTATTAATTCAGGGTTCTAAAGAAGTTTCTCAGTATAAGATTAACTAAGACATACTGAAATATGGAATTGATTTTTTTTTCTTTTTTTGCTACCCAGATTTTAAGTTGCAGTGAGTCTAATTATGTAGCAATGTCTGAGAACTATTAAAATGATAGATAGTCATTGTTAGATGCTGTTGAGCCAGTTCTGTGTGCAACAGAACAAAAAGTGCCCAGGCCTGCACCGCCCTCACGGCGGTTATGTCCGAGCCTGTTGTGCAGCTACTGTGTCCATCCCTTTCGCGGAGGGCCGTCCTCTCTTCTGTGTGTGGTGCCCCTCCAGGTCAACAACCCGAAATGTCAAAGATGCCTGTGAGATAAGGAAAACTACATAGAATTTTGAAAACAGGAAAGCAGAGAGGGTGTTTAGACTCTGTTCTGTTTTGCTTTCCATGTTGTGTTCCCCACTCTGCCGGGGGAGGCACTGTGCTTCGCTACAAAGAATAGATCCTCACATCGGTTAGGCATTGACAGATGGACAGTCATGCTACTTGCCTAACTTACTTGAGGCTTTAACTTCCATTTCCTACTAAATACGGCCATAATAAGAAGGAACCCGTACAAGACGCTCCACTCTAGTCTCTTCACATCCAACCTCCTGTTAACGTATCACAAAAGACGCGCCTTAGGAGTAAGTACACAAATGTGGTGTACAAATATTTGTAGGGTTATTCCAGTAATAAAGGGCTGAACTACCCGGGAAAGAAATGAGTAGAACAAGACTCACTGGCTAGACTTTAGAGGGAAGCAGATTTCAGATGCACATAAGCAACAGCATTTCTAAAACTTGGATCTTTCTTTGTTGTTGTTTTTTAAACATTTTATTGAGGGCTCTTACAGCTCTGTAACAATCCATATATCAGTTGTATCAAGCACATTAGTACATATGTTGTCATTATTATTAAAAATTGGATCTTTCTTAAAGTGGAAAGGGGACACCTTTATGAGGGAATGATTCCTTGATTTCCACAACAGTGGAGGAATTCAGAAACATCAGCTGTATGGTTGGAATAGATGATAGTAAAATTGTAGTTCTTAAATTTTATGATTCAGTGACTTAGGTAGTAAGGCAGTTAGGTCCACATATATAGGAAATGACAGGTATGTACATTATTTTAAATGACTAATATTCCAGGGAAAGTACGCAAATATATATGATGGGGGCTTCAGAAAGTTCTTGGAAAAATGGAATTCAAGTGTAGTGGATTTTTCTCGTGAACTTTTTGATGCCTCTCATCTGTGTGAACATCTGGAGATTTGGAAAGGATAATGGTGATGGGTTATATCTATATTTCAAACTGTTATTGATAATTTTAATTTGGGGTGTTAATTTATTGTCATTTGTGGTTTCAAACCTCTTCCTTTAAGATAGAAATCATATACTATAATCCTAAGTGTATCAGTGGCACTGAATTATACATGTAGAAGAGTTAAATTAGAAAATGTTTTCTTGTGTATATTTTTACCACAGTTCTTTTAATTACATGAATAACGAGTACAAGGAAGAAGAAAATGTTCAAAAATTCGGTAATGGTTATATAGCTCTTCTTGATGTTATTAAATTATTGTGTGATATGTGGATGATGTGCCAATAAAAGTTTGAAGAAGAAATAATAATTTAGTATCATAGTAGAGCGAGAAAAGGAGAAATTGGTCATCTCAGTATTGTTATAGAAATTAATAGAAAGTTACATAAGAAATATTAAAATTTTTGAATGTTCTAGGAACCACGAGAGGTGATGTGGACTGTTTTGAGCAGAGAGGGGTTGGGGAAGGGAATCAGATTTCCTCTAACAAGATTTTTTTTTGCCTTAATATGGATCTGTGGCCTTTAAACTTGCCTACATGCATACCAAATCAGGAAAAGAGCCAGGGCACATACCTGTCACACCATCTCTGTGTACAAACGTGTCTGTGTATGAGCACACTAAGGCTTTCTGCGAAGTCATCCTTCCATGACGATGCTTTCCACGGCCACCGAGGGTCAGGGCTGGAAAAGCCACAGGGCCGTCCCGTCCTGCTCTGCTCTAGAGCGTCGCTACGAGATGCCGTTGACTCCGTGGCGGTGATTGTTCTTTCTTTTAATCTTTCCATGAATTAAAACTATTAAGTTTGACCTAACGGTGTTATAAGCACTTTTTAAATGCCTTTCTAGTAAAAAGTCTTGAAGTCATGATGACTTTAAGCCAGGACTTTTCATGCAGCATGCTTTTTGTTGTTAGGTATACCATGGCGTTGGTTCTGACTTGTAGTGAGCTCCTGCCCAACAGAACAGACTACTGCCTGGGACTTCTCCAACCTCACCGTGGTGGGGCCACCGCGTCGGTCCATCTCATTGAGGGTCTTTCTGAAGATGCTTAGGGAGAGTTTCATTAGTAATAAGAGGAGGTCTAAGTCCACATTTCAAATACTTAAGAATTTAAGATGATGTTTGGCTTAATTTCAATGTTATTATTCACATATAGTTGATAAAGATACACTACAGTTAGCAGTGTTGGTTGTTTCGCCTGTTTTTTGTTTGCGGGTTTGCTTACATTATTCATATTATTCTCACTCTCACTTTTGTACAATTCTTATTTAAGTCACTTGTTCATTATTTTGAGTTGCTTTATTCAAATTAGAGAGCTAATGCATAAATCCAATGGATAATGTAACTGTAAATAATCTGGATAATATATGAAATGATTCAATTTATAAAGACCTAATCCTTAAGCCTAAAATTTTCAACCCCACATGGTTTTACAGGTAACTTTTTTTCCTAATAAATTATTTTATTGGGGGTTCTTGCAGCTTTTAGAACAATGCATGCATCAATTGTATCAAGCACATTTATTTGTACATACGGTGCCATCATCATTTTCAAGACATTTTCTTTCTGCTTAAGCCCTTAGTATCAGCTCCTCTTTTTTCCTCTCCCTCCTATATTTTAAACCATTTGTCGCATCCCTTAACCCACATTTCTGTTGTTCATCCCCTAGGGTTCGGGGGTGGGAATCGGGTTGTATATAAATCATTGTGATCGCTTCCCCCTTTTCCCCCCATCTTCCCCCTGCCCTCATAGTATCGCTACTCCCATTATTGGTCCTGAGAAGTTTATCTGTCTTAGATTGTGTGTCGAGAGCTCTTGTCTGTACCAGTGTACATGCTCGGGTCTAGCCAGATTAGTTAGATAGAGCTGGGATCATGATGGTGGGGCGGGGGTTGGGGGTGCAAGCATTAAAGAACTAGAGCAGTGGTTCTCAACCTTCCTAAATGCTGTGACCAACTAATAAAGTTCCTCATGTTGTGGTGACACCCCCCAACCATAAAATTATTTTCATTGCTACTTTATAACTGTAATTTTGCTACTGTTATGAATTGAGTGACCCCTATTTGTTTTAAATCTTCTGATGCCTGATACCTGATCCCAATCGAGTGTGCTGCAGTGCCAAGCCCTGCCCCACCCCCCCAATCCAAAACCTATTTTGGGGGATTCCTCAGGGACTTCATTGCTTTGCTCCCCTTGCTTCTCTGTTGCTACTGGTGTTGCGCTGGTGTTGGGGTTCAGATCGGGCACAATTCCCGCACTGTCTCCAGTGCTGCCCCCTGTAGTGCTGTGGGTCAAAAAGAGCAGGACTTGTCTTGTGGTGAAGCCCACCTTATGGTCCTTTCTGTGGATTGGCTGCTCAGAGCAGGAATGTTGTCTTGGATGCTGTCCACTTTCTCTCTCTTTGCCTCATAGTTTGCTCCCATGTGGTCTGGGAAGACCTGCCGCTCTCCCCCGCTGTATTTTCAGTGTTGTTCTCTGTAGTGCATTCTTCTGGGGAGGAGGGTTGATGTAGCTGGGATAGGATCCGCCCCGCAAGCCTCTTTGTTGGTTCACTGCTTCATTCCGGTATGTTGCACTCAAGGTTTGATGTACCAGGTTGAGGTCTGGTTCCTCTCTCCCTTTCCTATGGAGACATAAATAGTTACCCCCTCCCCTCAACCATGGTGGATTACTGCCCCTAATGCCTTCATCTTTCTCCCTTCCCCTCTTTTTTCATGTCCACGCCCCTCTTTCCCCTTCTTTATATTGGTATGCATCATAATGATGCTGTATGCATCATTGGGCTTGGTCTGTCCCCTGCCTGTGTGCCTGTCCCTCAACCTGTAAATTATGTATTAGTTTTTCTTTTGTTCCCATTGTGTTGATTGGACCTACCTCACTGGACTCATCTTGTACTTGCCCTTTTGTGCTTGGCTAACTTCGCTTAGCATAATTTCCTCCAACTCTTCCCATGAGACAAGGTGC